TTAGAGAGTTTTGGGAAAGTATTGAGAACGTTCAATTATTGTTCATCGCGCTTCTAGAATGAATAGGTCTTATAACTCAATATCTAGCTACTTGAATCTATTTTCATGACGAAGCTTAGTTTTAGTTTTTGTGAATATTATTTGATTTTTTTACATATACTTGACTAAAAAAAATTAAGGGTTGGAAAGTAAGAATTATAATTTGTTATAATTTGTTAGTCATTTTTTGTTGTTTTGTACCATTCCGATTATGAAGATGGGCTATTTTGTGGAAACTGTTTATGTTTTTGGAAGCTGAATGAGTTTACATAAGTGAAAACAAAAGTTCACCTAATACTATTATTGGGAACTCGTCAGTCAACGCGTAACTATGAGCGCGTCGAATCCTGCATTAACACATTTCACCATTATTCAATATAATTATTTACGCAAGGAGCAGGGTTCCATTGTCGGTTTATTTATAATCAAGAAAGCGACTATTGATCGAACCTGAAATCATATTTTCCATATACATAAAACTTTTGAGAATGTTATTTGAAAAAATGATCGTTTTTTCGCTTATTTTTGTTACTTACGTAACGTATGGGATACAATTTTTAGGAAAAAGCTTACCCTGAAATCTTTACCCGATATTGATATCCGTGGAGCAGGTAAGGAAATCGTGGATTGTTCTCATTAAGCGGCCATGATTATGTAATGAAAAATAAGCATTTGCGCCATACCCGAAGAATGGACATACATATGAAACAATATCTAGATTGATAGAACAGCAATTAAATTTGCATTTCATTGAAAATAACGGTGTCTTTAAACCAGCCCTGTTAACAGGGACTTCTCGGGCCCTCTGCTGGGTAATAATACAACTACGTCTAGCCTTGCCACCGCCACCGCGGCGCAGCGTGGTCAAGTATTCGCCCTACCGTCCGGTAGAGTCCGCGACATTTTCCTGTTAACAGTAAGTGAATTGATTATTTGCTCGATGTTTGTTACATTTAGTTTTGTAACTTTGTTTGTTTTTAACGGAGTTATCAAGCAGAATTTAGTACAGACACTATTAATCTAAATAAAATGCGCTGTAATGGTGTCATGTCAATCTATTGTGTTAGGTTTGATCCATGTGTCCAGTACACTAAAAATCCTTTTTGGCTGGTGCAGTGTGCGTCAACTTCTGTGTCCGACACAAATGAAAAATACGTTTTTGTATTTGAATCATGTAATATCTTGAGTACTTCTTGCTTTAGTATGAGGTTTTGGAGCCCATCTTACACAAAGCGTATAATTTTTCTCTAGTTTGAGAGACATTTTAAAAGAAATCGATCCAATTCATTAGATCAAAGACGATTTCTTAATGGTCCAATTTGTGCCAAAGGCGCAAATTTTTATCCCCACCGATCTATAGTAAAATCGGACCCAAGAGACTGCGAAGAAGGAATACCTTGCATTAATTTGCTGAAAACTGGAAGATCCTCTCCATTTTATTACAATAGAGTGAATGGACTGCCAGAAAGTGCTCAATACAGACGTAAAATATCTAGTCCAAAGCTAGATCGCCGTTTTAGGGTCTCGCGCAAAACCATGCAGATTGATTTTAAGCCTGCAATATTGAAAAGTGTCCAAATAAATCAAAATTCTAGGCAAAAGTGAAACAAGCTGGAAAAGTTCTAGTCTGGTGCGCGGTTTCTGAGGCGGAGGTGTCAGCACCCTATTGTGGTGTGGTCCAATTCGAAGAGGAGCTGCGGGCGCCGAGCTTTATAACCAAAGGTGCTTACCAAAACCGCTTAGCTTGTGTTATTCCGATCATCAGAACGACGATATGATATTATGGCCTTACCTCGCTTCGGGCCATTATACGAGGAGAGCTATGTACAAAATGTACCACAAGATGAGCCATTCGAAAAATTTAGATCATTACTGAGTCGAAAAGCTTTTGATAACGGAAGGGATGTCCAAAATGTATAATATTGTGAGAGCGCATTTTTAGAAGAATCCGGAGAGCGGATATAAATATCAGCAAACGGAAAATGAGACAAATCCTAACCTAATTGTGTACTATGATTTCGTCATTTCGTTCCTTGTTTTTCTCAAAACGTTTGCTAGGTGCTTTAAAATAATATAAATTGTATACCTATCAAAAAGCCATATAATACCATCGTCATATTTATAAAACTGTAAATCTTATTGAATAAATGAAGTAGGAACTGTATGTTATACGTTACTTATATAGCGAATAAGTCTTATATCTTAAAATCCGGTGGTTTGAATTTGTACTCATCTGTTCTCATGATGAAGCTTAGTATTTTTGAATATCATTTGGTAGTATAATAGCTTACACCAGGGTTTCCGACCTGCAGCCTAAACAAAGAGCTTTTAATTAGATCCGAAATATAATTTTCACTAGCATTTCTACCAAAACGTTTCTCGTAACAGTGACACCGTGCATTGTTATCGCTATGTTAGATAGACAGATATATGATAGGAAACGTCTAAATGGACATTTGCAGAGATAGCAAATATTCGTTTAAGATTTGGATGACTGATTGATTGGCGGGGTGAAAAATATTAAAAGAGCAGATTTATCGTCTTACAAACAATAAAATACTTAACGTTATTACAGCTTAGGAACGAGTGGGTAGTATTGAATAGGTTTCTGATTAATACAGATAAAACCGAATACATCTTGTATCACAAACGAAGGCCATAGAAGAACAACACAGTTACAAGCCACCCGAAGAAGTTCCAAATATAACATTTTTAGGTCTAATAGTGGATGGATGGTTCAGCTAGAAAGACCACATAGAGTATCTAGCCAAAAAATTCAGCATTTTTTTATCTGAGGAACTTAAAATACATAATGAATAAGAAGTAGTTATTAAATGTCTACTAGTCTATTGTATATTTCCACCTCAAATATTTATTGGAGATTGTCTGTTGAGGTCCATCGAATGTTTATTCTTCAAAAGAGAATTTTCAGACTCTTATTCTCGTTGCTTCATCTGGAGTATTTTCGAGAAATACTTACATATAAAAAAATACTATCGTCATCATTACTTATTTTAGAGGCGTGCCCTCATGTGAAATCATATCCTTCCAAAATCACTTACATAAAAGAGTCCCAGGGACACAATCTAAGGAAAAATAATAACGTTACATCGACAACTATTGCCTTCCAAGTTAAAAAGCATCAATGATTTTAAAGTCTTTGAGAAGCAACTTTTAACATACTTATACCCTAAATGTTATTACTCTCTGCAAGGGTTTATTTTTATTTAATAATTTTATTGATTATTTAAATTATTACACATTTATGCTGCATACTTTTTCTATTCCGCTATTTTACTATTTATATTTCTAAACAGACAATTTTTTTTACTTATGTAAATCTGACCTCTTCCTATTGACGTTTCATATACGCAAAGTAATTTGGGGCCCACTTTGATTTTTTCGGAACTTGTATACTGAATATACATACAATACGCTATAATACGAATCAGACTACTCATTTTGGAGACCTTGTGTCTCGGTAACTGCTCGTGAAATAATTTTATGCGCAGGGACAATTTCGTTCTATCTGTTGATATCTGCAACATACTAAATTAAAAAAAAGGCTAACCGGATTCAAAAGACGCTTATGCGTTGTCTAAAAGTGTATTTTTTAAGCACTAACAAAAATATCATCCAGGTATGACACTCTCAAACAAGCCACGAAGAAGCTTGTTACTAGTGCTACGGATAACTTGCGATGACAATAATAATTCAGCTTCACAGACACTTTGACCATCTTTTTGTGGTAACTAATACCATCGATTGCTTATGTTTTACTGTTCCCCGAGCTGTTCCTCAACTCCCAAACATGCTCACCTAATGTTAATTTTGTTTTCCCTTCTTTGATTGCACACTTGGTTGATCGAAATAACTCTCCACTACAGCATTTGTCACATACACAGATCGTTTTGTCGACGCTTTGATGAATATTGGATTGCTTTTCATAGTTCAGGCTTCATTGGCAAAGGCCGTCCTGAGTTGTTAGTCTCGTTCTCAAAAATGCTTAGCGTTTTCAAGCCATAAGTATGTATTAGCTTCATGTACATTGCTGTGAATGTGACAGAGAGGATATGCCTTCTACGCGGTTTTAAAACGTTAAGGGTCACTTGGAACCTGAAAACGAATCTTGAGTAGTGATTCGCTCATCTCTTTTTTCAAACGCCTGCTTGGAAAAGAATTCTTAATACTTTTCGTCTGATTGGCTCATGGTTCATATAGAGATGACTGGGAAACAATTTAAACAAAATCTTTGTTGACAAAATAAGCATTTTTTGTGTATTTTTTCTTCAGTCGTAACTTGCTAACATATAGTACACCTCTGACGTTGTTTGTAAATCTACGCTTTTCTTAAAAGCTCAATTTGCTGTAAAATATGTTTTGAAGAAAAAGAAAAAATAACAAAATGCTAGTTACCCGCTAAGTTCTACTATAAGGGTGGAATATTCACTTATAATTTATAAAACTTGCACGGACACGCATTTTTTGAGAAAAAAGGATATGATGATGATGATGATTGTTTTTTAGTCATCTCTATACACACAATGAAATTGATGAAAAGTATCATATGCCTCCTCAAATGTGGAAAAAATGGTTAACCTTCAATAATATGTCATTTCCATAATTGTTTAAAATATACAATGTGCTTAACAATTTTACATGATTTCCATAAGTCGGATAATAGCTATGGCATTTTGTATGAAGCCAGTTAGATGAGTTAAGGTAGTTTTCATACTTTATAGGTAAGATTAACTGGAATATCATCACAAAAACCACTGTTTGTTGAATAAGGCATTGTATTATATATGTACCATCACTATATTCTATTCAAACGTTACTCCAAAATTTCGTTTAAAAACAATTATTCAGGATATCCCTCAAAAACTGGCAAATCTACTAAGTATAATCAAAGCCAGTAAGCTGTCGCCTCACTGAATCTGTTAAAAGTTTCATCAACATACCTTTTTAAATGCTTTTCTGGATGTGCCTGTTGAATTTTGCCTTCAAAAAACATAAATGTCATTATTCCCGCAAGCGCTGGTTTTGGAAGTGAACGAATTTAACGTTTTCAGTACATGTTGCTGTAGAAACTTCTTGTCTTGAGGATATCTGTTTTACCTTTGCTTAAACAGATGCTGTCACAGATTGTCTTGTTGTTTAAGCTGTTAGTGCTTTTTGAGAAACATTATAAGTTTTGGATAATGAACGTCCAGTAAATTCTGAATAAGTGAAGTTTTTTATCATATGTTTCCGGGCTTATCCAGTGACACCTATTTACATCATAATCCTTTTGCAAACCCGTTGCATTTGTTCCTTGTGGCTTATTTGCAGACTTTTTATTATGATTACAGTCTATGAGGATAAACAAGTTGAGTGTGTCACACCAAGCTCACTTGATTGGGTCTGGATAGACCTTCTTAGTTCTCAGGCTGTGAAAGCAGAGTTTCTCACCAAATACTTTAAGCAAATAATTCAGTACTTCCATCCATGTTTGAGGACCTTTGGAATATAATTTAATTGAGAATAAAATTGCGGCTTAATTGGCGTCAGGTACCATCGATCCACGGGGGACCTCCTGGCTGACGTCACGACAACATGGAGTAAACTCCAGTTTTATATCGAATATCATGTCGTTGCTCTTGATATCACAATGCCAACGCGGGTGTTTCCCAGGGATCGATCTTGGCACCGGCATTGTTCCAATTATATACCAACAACGTCCTTTCCTGAACGATCAATCCGAACCACATCTTTGTTGATGACTGCAGTCTACAAAGGAGACTAGCAGCGACTCTCTCTCTCTCTGACGATTACGATATCACTGCTTAGGATTGCAAGAATCTGGTACGGTTTAATGCTTCCAAAATACTGTATCTTGACTAACAAGAAGAGTTCTAGCAATGATCCAGTTCCAATGGATGGCCGAGTACTACCAAAGGGCCAATGATTTAGGCTGGTCGGAGTCCAGATCACGAAGGACTCAACCTGGCACGAAAACATTTTGTCGATCGTGGTAGATGCTGGGAAAAAAGTTATTTGTTCAGGACTAAGAAACAATTTTCTCAACATACCCATTTCACTCTGTACAAGGCCCAGATAAAATTTAGTCTCGGTGCGGTTCCCTGGTAGGGAAGGAAAAGGGTGTTGATAAGTTAGTCCATATTGAGGCAAAGGGCAGGATGGCAATCAAAATAATCGCCTTGGTATTATCCAGGAAACCGAATCTCAACTAATGTGGTGGCATCAACCTACTGAGCATTTTTTTTTTTCATTGTGTGCTTCAAGGGACATGTTCACTCTCATCAAAAATACATTAGTTTAACTGATTATGAGCTCACAGCAAATTGGTATCCGAGCTTCAAAGGAAGGCGTTGCTGTCGCGACTTGGATTACGCAGTTATAAGAAAGCTGCGGCAGTAGGTGACACCCAGTCTATTAACGAAGACATAATAAAATATTCAACAGATAAAGAACCCAAAATTCTGTCTCTGGTATGTGATATTTAAAATAAAGCTTGTTAAAAGTATAAGAGTTTTTTATTTCTTCGTAAATCATTAATTCAATCATCAAAGGTTTTGGGTACCATAGAAAAATCAAACGCCCTAATATAATGAAGCATTTCATAAATAAGGAAAGCAAAATAGAGACTGTTTTTGAGTTCCGTTGGTAGTACCCACATTTCTAAAAGTATATTACGAGTACTTTAATGCATACATAGCATAACCTCACGACAAATTGTTCCGCAAGTTTCATTAAAAAGGGACGCTAAATATGAAGTAACAGAAAAGTACGCATCGATAGACTGCCAAACCGACCGTTGGAACTAAGTTGTTACTCTGTATTTGGAATTTTCTTGTGTAGACACTGATAACCTGAAAACTTCTCGCTTGTAGGTGAGAAGTAAAATGAAGCATGTTTATTCTCAATTTATTTTTGTTCCTCATAGTAGGAGTGCACTAGACGCAACTAGATAAGCTTACGAGATTTAAAAATTGTTCAAAATATTGTACATTACAAAGTCTAATAATAATTTAGATCGTTTGCCGATTTTATTTTTTTTTTCAAATGTTTCTAAACTTCCGATGTATAGGGTTATTATAATTAGCATATTCGCTGGTAGATATTAGTAGACTGATCAAACATGCCCATGTGAGCTTAAGCATTTTATGGCTTGGTTACCCAATGAAGCTCCTTGAATCGACAGAGGCATTAAATGACATAATCTGTGTTGCTCACATTTACCTCAATTATTAGGGGAGGTGCTATCACATCTTTTAAAACAAAAAATATTTCTCCTGATCATAGGTACATGATTTATTATTAATTAAAAATTAGCATTGATATTGCATTTCAAAGGTATACTACTAAAGCTACTAACCCTCAAAGATTTTGGTCTTTTATTGATTCTTTGAAATACACTTCTCATATCCCTGATACCAAGATGTTTGATAAAACAACTTAACAAGCCACAAGATATTTTCAACGCTTTTGCAGATTTTTTCCAGTCCACATACTCACCTTCCACAAACTTTACACCCGCAGACTCACCTGACTGCGCCTCATTACCCTTGAATATACCAATGATTACTGAGAAACAGGTTGATGCCGCTTTGTAAAAGATTAAACCCAAGGTATCTTCCACTCCAGATCTAATCCCTGCATTTTTACTGAGAGACTTTGCTTTTGTTTTAGCTGAGCCTTTAGCTTATCTGTATACCACATCTCTTGATACTACAACATTTCCCATGGCTTGGAAAACATCTGGATTGCTCCCATATTTAAAAAATGCGAACGTTGTGTCATTTCGAATTATAGAGCTGTTGTGATTAGAAGCAACGTTGGTAAGGTTTTCAAATGTATATTACATGATATAATTTTCTCCCATGATGAGCACGAAATTTCTCCAAATTAACATGTTTCTTTCCAAGGCAGATCTACTTTAACTAATCTAGCGTGTTTTAAACAGTTTTCCCCTGAAGTTGTTGATGAAGAGGGGCAAGTAAATGTTGCTTACGTTGACTTTTCAAAGGCTTTTGCTAGCTGATGCTAGATCACAGTATTTTGTTAAAGAACTTAGCTACGCGAGGGTTGACCCATCAATTCTTGAATCTTTTCAAATCTTATCCTACAAACAGATGCTTGAAGGTTGAATACAGGGGCTTCACCTTCACTCAGGTTATACCTTCTTCCTGCGTACCTCAAGGGTCTGCTCTTGGCCCTTTGCTTTTCCAAATTTTCATTGATGACGTCGTTGGGGATCTACACAGTAGCTGTATTCTGTATGCAGAGGACTTGAAATTTTTTTGTAAAATTGAGCCCATCGACCACCGTAATATATTGCAAAACGACTTGAGCAACCTAAATAAGTGGTGTCACCGTAATAAGCTGTACCTTAATGCTGATAAATGCTACACTATGTCTATTACGCGCAAACTTGTTCCAATCAGATTCATATATAACACTGATAATAATTTTAGTGGTCATAAATACTCGTTTCTCCAACCACCCTTATTTGTTATCGTAGTCAAAATTAACATATCGGAAATCTCAACGATTGGTTATTTTTGTTGCACTGAAAACTCTATAAAGTCCACTCATTTCCTTTTTAGTCCATCATTTGAAAAACATAAGTATAACCATGACCACTTAACCCTTGCAGACGCGGGACTTACATATCAATAAAATGCGTCAACAAGCGTATCGGAAAAGCCGACATCTTTATGGGTCGTAAAGCGTCTAGATTCCGTATTTATATTCACGTTGTTTTATAGTAAAAGGGAAATACTGTATCTTATATCAGAATCCATTTAACTAGGATCTGCAAATGGAAATATCTCATTCAACAAATTGACCTGGGAGCATGACCGCTTTGGCATTCCAAATATCATATATCATAATTCTCCATACTTTGCAGTAGAGCAGCATTAAGGCACATCTAGTACTTTTGAACTTATGTGTTGTCATGGTTTCATAATATCCATTTTATACTGGTAGCTGTACTTCAAGTTCGTGAAGACGGTAGACCGTTAAGGTGCACGCCTATTGAGGAGGAGGAAAGAAACTTGTGTCGTACAGAATTGTAATTCAACAATGTTCGTCGACAATTGAATTAGCAACAGACAACACTATGTCAATCAGTGACGAGTAACGTTGATTGTGGTGGGTATAAAGACTAGTTGCCTCGAAATAAACCTTAACTAGTCTTAACTATAGATGATAATTTGTGACTTCAACTGACAGGGGTCAATGGGTCGTTTTCCAGTCTTTACCAATCTGTAGTAAGAAGTACAGAACAGTCGCATGCAGACGTTCAAGACATATACTCGTATTTCTACTCCGAGTAAAGGAAATTGTGAATATAGTGGGCTTAGTGAATATAGTGTGTCTCCGTGGCTTCAATGCTTATCTTATCTTATTATAATAAATAATAAATATATTATGTCATAACAGTATAGAGCTAGTAGAACCACTCTGGCTAATATTTGCCAGACCAGTGAACTTTACCCGCACAGAGCAGGTACTAGCACAGAGAGCACCAATATAACGAAAGCTGTAGGTGCTTTATTAAATCATGAATCAAACGTGGATGACTGTTTTGAACCTGAACAAGAACCTTAAAAATAACTTTATCGTAAAAACTAGGAGGTTCTCTATTACTATACAGTTCAGAAGTTAGTGCTTGGATTGTCATACATTTTTGACAGATTATTTACTGCTATAGCAATGATAGAACACTTTAAATTAATACTTTCAACAATAACTGCACAGGAACAGTAACACTAGTAGTAGTGGTAGTGGTGGCGAGGCGTAACACCAATATGGCACTTACACACGAGCCATCTAGTGGTAACTCATATAATAAACTAGATTTAGCGAAGAGATGTACCTATTGTTTATATTGTATCCACGTGTCAATCCAAGTTTTAATATCTGGGATTAGCCTTCTGGTCCATGCACCTTTGTCAGTCCTGACATCTGACAAGAAGCGCCTCTCTTTCGTCGCTTCTAGCTTTG